TAAACTAAACTAAACTAAACTAAACTAAACTAAACTAAACTAAACTAAACTAAAACTAAATGAACTGTTGTTAAGTCAAGGACTCCCCTGTGGCTCATGGTTTGTGGTCGAGGTTTTCCAGCAGTGCAACTGGCCTTTCAACATTAGTTAATAGTTTTACTTTATTGTCATTGCACCTCGTACATCGAAATCAAACACCATTTTCAGTGCACATCATGGCCATGAAAATGAACACAAACACACATCCTTCTCCCTTCACACATTGAACCGGAAACCCCCGACACCAGACCAACACTGCACTGTACAGCAGAATTCAAAAGAGGACCTGCCCTGGGATAGAAGCTGTTTTTCAACCTATTTCTCCTTGTTTTTATTATCCTGTACCGTCTGCCAGATGGTAATAGTTCAAAAAAAAAGGGTGCCCAGGATGAGATGGATCTTTGAGAATGTTTTGAACTTTTTGAACCATGTCACCCAGAGAAAAAAATAATCTTCCACAAATTTAGACGTAACATTTACAGGTAATCCTTGACGTGAGGCGATTCGAAGTTACAACAGACCTCCTCCCCGAAGGTACTAACAACCTCGTTCTGAATTCCAATGGCTGCCCCCCACCATGATCATGTGACCTCAGTTCGACCATTCAGCAACCGGTGCACATTTATAGTTGTTTGCAACATCCCATGGTCACTTGACTGTTCTTCATGGTTTTTTTTTTTTTTGCTAAAAACCAACCTTTTCTTCTAGTTTTATCGACTGCCACGAAAAAAAAGGTCATAAAATCAGGTTGGTCACATGGGCAACCCATTTTATAATCATCACAACTTATGACCATAAGGGGCAGGCTCCATCATAGTCGAGGATGACCTGTACACTGTGAACTATTGCTTCCTTTTTATTCTCTCCTTTGGTGATGACCCAGGGTGGGATACAAAATAAACACAGTCACAAAAAAACAGGTAAAGCCCCTTTTATTTCTTCACTTTGCTTCCAAGCTCCAAATATCCTTGACTGGAGACAAAAAAACTCCCACACGAGCAGTGACAAGAAGGAGGAAATGCTGTTTAAACTAAAAATGCACTTTAAATTATAAAGAGTAAAAAACAACACAAACAGGCAAGATAAGGGCTTGAAGACGTCCACTGATATCAGAACACACACTGGGAAGGACGCCAAACTCAGAGAGGAACAATAAACTAGAGATATTTCCACACGTTGTTTCTAGCACTGGCCCCTACGCATGTCCGTCCTCTTATCCAGTTGTCGCAACTGCAGCCCATGAAGAGGATCAAGGCCCTCTCCTTCCAAGTAGATCACCTCTCTCCCTTATCCTCTCCTCCCTGCGTGCCCTAGGATGGAGAGGGGATGGGCCTGGGTCCTCCTCTGACTGCTCAGCCGGCCTCTGCCCTTCCCCAGCCTCCTCCACCACCTCTGGAGCCACACTTCCACTCCCTGTTGGCTGTTCCTTCTCTCCCTCAGAGTCAGTCCCCACCAGGGACACAACACCTTTTAACCCCAAAGCCGGTTAGGTTCATTCAAGATGAAAAATCTTGAATCTTTAGAACAACGGCCTCAGCAACCAACCAGACAGCAAACATTTATCCTGCTATTCTACCAGGCTCTTTACATCCAATGGTTTTATTATTATTTTTTAAATTCTTTTTAACGTTGAAAAATGAGAATCAAGCATTCTTTAAAGCCGTGTTATCTCAACCTCGGCAGCTTGAAGAGGTCTTCA